AGTACAGGTTTAATTTTTTATTTTTTATTTTTTCGCACAGTTACGAAACGACGTCGTTTTTGTCTTAAGACAAAACGACGTCGTTTAGATTAAGTTCAAATAAAAAAAAAACGAAAAATATAATAAAATTAAAACTTAAAAGAGCAGATACAGAGAGACAGAGAGTACAGAAGCTGCGTTCAAGTTCAAACTTCACAGAACATCTCTCGTCTCGACCCTCCTCCACGCGCCGCCTGACTCGCCGTCGACCTGACTCACCGCCGGACAGCCATCGACGTGGACTCTCGACCCTCCCTCAGGTATTTTTAAATTTCTTTTTAATTTTTTATATGGAATTTTTGGATATTTGACTTGGTTTGTAAACTTGTAATTAGGTTTTGATAGTTTTTGGATTTATTGAAGTTTATTGGAATCTTTTTATGTGAAGTTGATGAAATTTGGTGTTGGTTGGTTAGCTATAATATACTTGTGGTGTGTAAAGGTTAAACCATCCTTATGTAGACAAAGTGTTCGATGAAATTCTAAATAGATAATTTAGTAAAAGTTCAAGTATGTAAGATTCGAAAATTGAAAAAAAAAATATTATACATTCATGTATATTGTTTTTTTGCAACAATGTTGTTGATGTATTATTCACTTATTCATTATTTTTTTGTTAGGTTTTATCAATGGCTAGTAGTTCGGCATCAAAAAGTACTCCGTGTGATTTTCGAACATCCACCGAGGCCGAGAATAATTCTCAAGTATTTAAAAGAAAGTCGGATGACATAGGTTGGAACTATGGTGTTCTAGCCGATCCATATAACAAAGATCGGGTGAAATGCTTGTTATGTAGTAAAGTTATGTCGGGTGGTATACGTAGATTGAAAGAGCATATTGGTCAAATTTCCGGGAATGTTGTTTCATGTAGAAAAGCAACAAAAGAAGACCAAACTAAATGTAGAAATGCCATCAATGAGTCCAAAGCCAAGAAGATGAAGACGAAAGAGCTTCAAGAAGAGTTGCTATCTTCCGTTAACATTAAAGGGTTAAATATTGAGTCCTCTCAACAATGCGAAAAAACAAAAGAATCTCACTCTCTTGGCCCAATGGACAGATTCGCTACAACAATCAACCCGGAAGCATCATTGAACGTGGCAAAGACGATGCGGGAACAAAACATTAATGATGCTATTTGGAAAGAACGATCCAACTTGGTGAAAGATTATTTTGTCGATTGGGCTTATGAAGCGGGCATAGCTTTCAATGAACTTGAACTTGATAGCTTTCGGCTCTTTACCGAAACGCTCGGTCAATTTGGGCCGAGGTGGAAGCCTCCTAGTTCATACGAGATGAGAGAGCCATTGTTGAAGAAAGCGGTTGAGAGAACCAAACTCAAGGTGAAACCTCATGAAGATGAATGGAAGAAGAGTGGTTGCTCGATTATGACGGATGCTTGGAGTGATAGAAATAGAAGAAGCATCATGAATTTGTGCGTGAATTCTAAAGTTGGAACAATATTTTTATCTTCCAAGGAATCTTCCGATATATCTCAAACAAGTGAAATGATTTTTGAGTATGTGGATCAATGCATTGAGCAAGATGGGCCCGAGAATGTTGTTCAAGTTGTGACGGACAATGCTTCAAATAATATGGGAGCGGTGAAGTTATTGCGCACAAAGAGGCCAACTATATTTTAGACTTCATGTGTCGCACATACCATCAATCTTATCTTGGAGGGCATTGCCAAACTACCCCGGTTCACCAAAACCATTGAACAAGCAAAGGCATTGACTATATTCATTTATGCACATCATAAGACCTTATCCATGATGAGGTCTTACACTAAAAGGAGGGACATAGTAAGACCCGGAGTCACACGATTCGCCTCTTCATTTCTTAGCTTGCAAAGCTTGATGGAAAAAAAAGGCACAATTAAGGGCAATGTTTACTAGCTCCGAGTGGGATGAGTGCAAATGGTCCAAGACGGTCAATGGGAAAGCAAGTTACAACACCGTGATGTCTATTAGTTTTTGGAATGGTGTGACTTCTTTCTTGACTATTTTTGCTCCTTTGGTGAAGGTGCTTCGCATAGCGGATGCCGATAAGAAGACGTCGATGGGATTTTTGTATGGGGAGCTTATGCATGCCAAAGAAGATATAAAAAGTGTCTTGAACAATCTTGCCAAGAACTATGATCCCATCTTAGAAATCATTGACACGAAGATGATGGGTAGATTGGACACCCCGTTGCACTTGATGGCATATCTACTAAATCCTTATTATCATTATAAGGACCCGAATCTCGTACTAGATCAAGTTGTTTCGGATGGAGTTTTTGATTGTCTTGATGTCATTTGTCATGGTAACTTTGATTTGATGGATAAAATCATGAACGTTGAGTTGCCCATTTATAAGACAAAGGGAGGAGTCTTTGGGAAGCCAATTACCGCAAAAGGTTGTGAAGTAAACGACGAGAAGTTTGATCCGGGTAAATATATATATATATATATATATATATATATATATGTATATATATTTTTTTATATCTTGTCTTGCCTCTTATGTGATGTCTTGAAATAATATATTTGTTTTTTAATTTTTATTAGTCTTATGCTTGTTTTTTAAGTTTAAATTGCTACTCAATGATTATGCTTTCATATTAATTTCTCTTTTTTTTTTCATGCATAGCTACTTGGTTAAATTATGGATGTGGAACGCCTAATTTGCAAAGAGTTGCCATAAGAATCTTGTCATTAACCACAAGCTCGTCCGGATGTGAAAGAAATTGGAGTATATTTGAAGGGGTTAGTTGGATATACTATTTTTTAATTGTTTTGTTAATTTTTTTCATTGTTATTATTTTTATTGTAATACTTATATTATAAATATGGTTTTATTTATTTCTTAGATACATACAAAAAAAAGAAATCGGCTTGATGTTTCCCGCTTGAACAATATAGTCTATGTCCAATTCAATTCTCGTTTATTGAACAAGCGCAAATGGAGGAAAGAAAAGGATGTGTTACTTGCTAGTGAGGCAAGTAAAGCTCAAGAGTGGATTATTCTGGGATTAGTAGACGAGGAAGATGAGGACGTTAATGGACTTGAAGTTGAGGATGGCACATCAAGAGTGAGAGCTTGAAGAAGAAGATTTTGAATCCGAGGAGGAGGAACAAGTTAATGAGAATGACATTGACTTAGAGTCGGATGAAGAGCGTGTATTGGAGAATTATGGAGAAGAAGAAGAAGATCCTCTTGTGCTTGGCTATATTTCTTAGATATTGGCTATTGTTGCTTATTAGTGTTTTGGAAATTTGGTCATGTGGGTTGTTTCGAATCTTTGATACTTGGAGTTTCTTTTGAGATTGTGGTTATGTAATTATTATTTATTACTACTTAGTACTTAGTAGTTTTTATGTATTTATTTGGACTTGGAGTTTGTTTTGAGTTTGTTTTAGACTTGGAGTTTGTTTTTTAGATTGTGGTTAGTACAATATTACTAACTTGTCATGTGGGTTACTGGGTTGCTAATGTGGATTGCTAATTGCTATCATGTTTTCAATTTTCAATTTTTAATGTGGATTGCTAATTGCTATCATGTTTTCAATTTTCAATTTTTCATTATAATACATTAATATTTTTAGGAAGTGAAAATAAATAAACAAAAAATAATATATTTAATATTAATTTCTAGGCCCCGCCTAGGCGCTCTAGGCGCTAGGCGTTGGTCGGACGCCTAGCGGGCGCCTAGCGACTTCTAGAACACTTTTCATAAGTGATATTCTAACACGCCCCTTCATTTGTGAGTCCTTCATAAGTCCATGCCCACAACAGGTCGGTATAGATAAAGCACAAGCCTAAAGCAGGTCGAGTAGAGAGAAGCCCAAGTCAGAGTTGGTCTGACTATGATACCATGTAAGACTTATAGAATCGGGGCAAGAGATGCGGTCTCACGCTGGTGAAGCGCGCCATAAAATGGTGAATTTAGGTGCACCATAGTGAGGACCTCACTAAGGTGCACCCATGGATTTAAAAATAGGAACGGACAAGACCGCCAGGTTCAATCGGTTGGACCAAGAACCAACCTTCATTCTGATATGATTTGAAGCATAAAATCAGCTGGACTGAGAATCGTTCATGAACCGTTCGAACCGGTCCAAAACCGGTTGAACAGGTGAACCGGGACCAGTTTGAACAGTTCAACTGTTCTAGCTTTTGATTTTGTAAAGAGTTAATTGTGAAGTCATTTAAATAGCACATATTTTTTACTTGTGTTTCCTATGTGACATAGTTCACCAATAAAGACCATTGTTGAAATATTGGATCAATATTGGATCTTGCAAGCAAAATGTACTCATTAAAAAGAAAAATGTAATATTTTTTGTATTGGGTTATACCTATTACATATTTCCAATTTAAAGAAGAAAGAATCAATTTATTGTTATTCGTTATGCACATAATTTTTATTTTTAATTTTTAATAAATCATAAAAAAATTAAAATCTATTAAAAATTCAAATAAAAATTTTCTATTCTCTTTATTCTGTAACTGCACTATAAATTAAAATTTTAAATATAAAAAAAAGTTATCAATATTATTCAACACTGTCGGTTGTATTTATTATTGAACTCTTATTTAGAAAATGTCATGAACTATAAAATTAATGATAAATATATATAATTATATATTATACATTTAAAATAAATAAAAAATTGTATATTTATCAAACCAGTTCGACTTGTTCAACAACAGGTTCGACCAGTAAACCATAGAATCAGTAGCTTCACCGATTCGATGACCGGTTTAGTATTCAAAACCATAGGTGTACCTAGGTACACCCTCTTATGGTGCACTTCACCTGGTGGGACCGCACCCTCTTCTCCCGGTTCTAATACCCCAACTTACTTCTTTATGTTTCTTTAGCATATAACTTTTGTAGCCAATTAAACATTCAGTTGTATATCCCTTGAGGTTTAATATGATTTTATTGACCATTAGATATTATGTATGTTACACATATATATAATATAAACTTAGTGTTGTAATTGATTGTGCTTTAGTGCTATTTTTAACCATAGTGTATTTTATTAAAATAGCAACACAATTTATATTATCATTTGTGAAAATGATAGCAACATGTAATATCTATATATTGCTAGCTTACCTATAAATTTTACGTAATAAAAAAACCTAATAAATTTTACGTATGTTGTAAATAATTAAATAAAACATAATAAATAGAACCTAATAAATTTACTTATGTGGCATTAATAAACTCTATCTCATTAATAATAAAATATTTCATTACACCTTTTTGGGTTAATTAAGACAAAACTATTATATTTTCTGTTAATTGAGTAAAAATATTGAATCATATAATAGTTTATATTAAAATTAGTAACTATATTTTACACTAATATGAAAGTTACATAAAATTATGTTTTACACTAAAAACAAAATTATATTTTTTATATGATTAAACGATTGTTTTTAAATAAACTAATCTTTTATGTCAATAGTAAAATTTCTAAATATTACATAAGCAATTGTTATAAAATTTAATATTTTTCAGATTAATGATCACTCAAAATTACAAAAATATATATTTATTCCATTTTATGCAAACAATAGAGTGATTCGTATAATCGTATGCAATCAAATTGTATGTACTATTTATTTTAATCAATGATCAAATTTTAAGATATAAAACTATTATCTAATTTATAATTTTAATATTATATACATAAGTACGACTTATAATACTATATGTTTGAAATATAATACCAACAGGGGTTGGCTCAAGTGGTAAGCAGCTTGATGTCGCTTAAGCAAGGTCTCGGGTTCGAGTCCTTGTGGATGCAGAAAACCCTTGTTGGGAGACTCACCCACCATTGCCAGGTGTGCGACTCGGGTCGACCAACGGATTAGTCGGGGCATAGCTGCGGATACCGTGGCTGGCTACTAAAAAAATATATAATACTATTATTTATCTTCTAAAATTTTATATGCATACAAATAACTTATAATATTTAATTTTATTTACATTTTGTTTGATGCGTCTTTTACAAATATTTAATAATAGTGACACAAAGGAGAAATCTAGACGTATAATAAAGCTTGCATTTTTCCCACAAAAAAAGCATCCAACTAGCTATATGCCAATTGCATGCATTCGAAATTCAAAAAATGGATAACTATTTTTGGGTTGGGCCAGAGCAAAATTGTTTACTTATTTATCTAAAAAAAAAAAAAAAAGAGGCAATGTGTTGAAATTTGAAAGAATTTGGGCCACTTGCTTTTACAAGTTACGCTCCAAAACCTACCGCATTATTAACATCTTTCAAGGCCAATCAATACATGCGCACACTCATGCCCTTTTCCCGCTCTTGCTTTTTTAACTTAGTCATGAAAAGAATTAATTATTCAGATTTTTTTTTTAAGAAAAAAAGATGGAGATATAATATCGTTTCTCAGTTTTGCTATGGAGACACCGAATGACTCGACTTATAGAGTCGTCCACAATTATTCACCAATAATGTGTCCTACTAAATACAATTTGGACAAATGTCAATATATTAAGTGATGGATGACTCCATAAGAAAACCACCCGATGGCTCTATAGAATTTTTGTATCTTTTTCTTAGTCTTTTTCATCTCTTTTGCCTGATAAATCCACACTTAAGATTATCCCTATCCGTAAGAGAGTGACAGCTAGAAAGTTTATGCCAAATTAACCTTCATTATTATATGTTAAAATTTAAATAATTATGTTCCTATGCTAATGTGATTTGAACTTACCCATAGTGTATGCCTATCAAGTGGTCCATTATGTGTGACAAGTGTCACTTTGGAGGCTATGGGCAAACCTCATTTTGCTATGGACAACACATAAAGAATATTTGTAGTATTAAAAAGGTTTTATAAAATATTAGTAAAGTGTTTGAATTTTAATATTGATATACAAATTGTCCTGGATCAGGTTAAACAGACACCACCATGAACGGTCTTCTCTCGAGTTTTGGTGACATGCAGTACGCCGAGGAGTTTCAACGGAAAAAACTTTCGACGCTCAAGTTAGTATACGCTTGTGAGGATAATGGGAAATTGTATGTTATATGCGTAAATTTGCATTACGTAATAATAGAACCTGATTACCTTTTATATACTAGGGTGTTTTGTTACCCTAGAAGAGTCATAATTGAGAAAGAGATCCAACAATATCTACTTTCATAGATTATCACGTCTCTCAAGTCGGTCTATCGAGCTATTATGAGTGTTGTATCATCTAGCCCCTCATTGTAAAATGATATGCCGAGATACTATGAATGTTACCGTTTGAACCTGTCATTTTTCACGTTAAATGCGTTTTCAACCAACCTTAGGGAATGTGAAACGACATAAATGGTCTCGTTTGCTGCACACACTTGGATCGTGGGGCACGAATTAACTAAGTGGAGGCCTCTTATTAGCTTTTGGACCTTGATCTCTTCATATCCGACGGCTAAAATGGCTAGACCAGCCAACCTTTACGCCTATAAAAGCCTCATTTCTCTTCTGAAAAACCTTTACACCATTTCTGAAACTTTCAAGCTTTTCTTGTGCTAAATTTCTCCAGCTATCGTACTCCGACCCATAACTAACTTCCAAGTGACCAACCATGACCAAATTAATCATTGAAAAGATAGATAGAAATAAATATTAAAGCACTAAAAAGACGGTGAAGAAGGAAATACGATCTTGATTGAACAAACTTCACGTACTGGCTTAATCGAACTGAAATTGTCTATTAATTATTCACCATAATTTAGACCAACATTTATTAACTACATGTTCTATGCATAAAACTAACTGAATAAAGATTAGAGAACATCTCAAGAGCTAAAATGAGATAATTATACAAATCAAGATGGTGAAACTTAACATAATGGCATTAAGTATATATAACACATTCATCCAGCAATACTATATCACCCCAATGATGCTTTATAAAAACTAACTCCTATTTCAAAGAGTCCTTTGTAGCAGAATCTCTCCTAAAACTAACAATGGAAAACAAAAGATAAATACATGTGTTAGAATATCACTGCGAATAGACCCACCTTATAAGTCTAATGGGCTATTCCTCATTTCACCCCACTTGGA